TGGGTAATCACCACCTAGGGGATCATCATTAGGTTCCAGAGTGTACAGCCCGGGCAGGGGATCATCCCGGCACTGCTCACTCACAGACCCAAGGGCTTGGGGTGTCTCTGCATCTGCATCTCACCTGCCTCCATGTCCTGCAGGTGTTCAGTGGGAAACGCCCCGAGTCGGAGCTGCCACCCCAGCCCCAGAGCACTTTCCGCAAGCCCCCCACGCCACCGCCCCCCGAAGCTGGGGGTCAGCACTCCCTCACCTGCCTTGTGCGGGAGCGGGACCTCTCGCTCTTCGAGAAGCTGGGCGACGGCTCCTTCGGCGTCGTGCGTCGTGGCGAGTGGTGCACGCCTGCCGGCAAGACGGTGAGGGGCTGCTCATGGGGACAGGGGGAGCCGGGCAATGGGATCACCGGGGGGGAGGATGCTTCAGGGCTCATCCCTGCTTTGGCCGTAGCTGAATGTGGCGGTGAAGTGCCTCAAGACAGACGTGCTGAGCCAGCCAGAGGCATTGGATGACTTCATCCGGGAGGTGAACGCCATGCACTCCCTGGACCACAGGAACCTCATCCGCCTCTATGGCGTGGTGCTCTCCCACCCCATGAAGATGGTGAGTATGGGGGGGACAGGGCTGACCCCAGTGCCACCCCGTGGGGGGTCCTGCGTGGTGGGGTGAGCAAAGCCAGGCTGGGTCCGTACCTGAGTCCTCCACTAGCATCCCCAGTGGGGCACAAGAAGTCTGGAAAGCAGCCCAACCGGAGTCTCCTTGACCTGACTGACCTGCTGTCCCCTCCCCATGGCCCAGGTGACAGAGCTGGCCCCGCTGGGCTCCCTCCTGGATCGCCTGCGGAAGAACCAGGGCCATTTCCTCATCTCCACCCTTTGCCAGTACGCTATCCAGGTGGCTAAGGGCATGGCCTACCTGGAGTCCAAGCGCTTCATCCACCGCGACCTGGCTGCCCGCAACATCCTGCTGGCCTCCAACGAGCTGGTCAAGATTGGGGACTTTGGGCTGATGCGAGCCCTGCCCAAAAATGATGACCACTACGTGATGCAGGAGCATCGCAAGGTCCCCTTCGCCTGGTGAGCCCTGGGGAGGGGGAGACCTGGGGTTGTAGCACCCACAGCCTCCTGATGCTCACATCCTTCCCCGCACAGGTGTGCTCCCGAGAGCCTGAAGACGCGCACCTTCTCCCACGCCAGTGACACCTGGATGTTCGGGGTGACCCTCTGGGAGATGTTTACCTACGGGCAGGAGCCTTGGATCGGCCTCAACGGCAGCCAGGTGGGTGCACAGCATGGACCTGCCCCACTTGCCTTGCACTGGCGGTGCTGGGAGGGGACCTGGGACCACCTGACGGCACCCCCTGCCCCACAGATCCTGCACAAGATAGACAAGGAAGGCGAGCGGCTGCCACGGCCCGAGGACTGTCCCCAGGATGTCTACAATGTCATGCTGCAGTGCTGGGCACACAAGCCTGAGGACCGACCCACCTTTGTGGCCCTGCGGGACTTCTTGGTGGAGGTAGCTGAGCAGGGAGGGGAACGGGGACCCTGGCACCCACTCCCACCAGCTCTGCTCGAGCGTGGGCAGAGTTAAGGGTATCACTGGGGTGGGAGGTGATGTTGGGGGGGGTTCAGGCCAGGCAGCCCTGCAGGCTGGGAAGTGGTGGGTGGTGACATGGTCACAAGCAGGAGGACTCCAGGTGCCACATTGCCCTTGCCCACCCCAGAGATATCACTCCCAGCTCCTCCTCAGCTGTGACGATGCTGTCTCCTGCCCATTTTTGGGGCTCCTCTGCCCTGCATCGGTCTGGGCCTGGCCTCAAAATGGGGCAGGGATGGACATGGGGGGGGCTGCATCCCCTGTCCTCACCCCACTGTCCCTCCAGGCCCAGCCCACCGACATGAGGGCACTGCAGGACTTTGAGGAGCCTGACAAGCTGCACAT